TCTCACCCGAAAAATCAAAAACCCAGTCAAAACACTCCTCCTAATCCATATTCCATCAAATTCCCTTTTAATACAGCAAACTCGAGTAAAATATAAACAATTTACAGCCACTTGCTAAGGTGAAATTTATTCAGAGTCCCATTCAATCGCGATGCCACTAAGCTCACACGGTGCTTTTCGCTTCTTATTTTATTTTTTACTTAGGATGGGGATGGGGTTTTCCTCTTTTCCGAGCGATTTACGAGTCTGGCCTGGGTTCTACGTTTTCGCGTCCCGGGGCAAAGGCATCCCCTGCATTTTACAACATTTGTATTTATTTGGCGTCATGAGTTTAAGATGTTGTTGATATATGTTTACCGTTGGGTGACACACACACACACACACACGAATACACAGCAAGTGGCAACTGCTGCAGCTCCACATAAGTAAATTAGGATTTATGCTTTGTTCTATTTGAGCGCTGCAAAGCCATAAACGATTTTTTATGCACAGCCACTTGGTTTTGGCGCGGAATGGAGGAGCAGTTCGCACCTTGCCGAATACGATTTACGACTTTCAGCATGTGAGAACGTAAAATTGTTATAAATTTGCATGTGCAGAATGCGAAAGAGGCAACTCCGTCTTACCACTCTGAAAAAAGAATGGCTCCCAATCGCAGTAAAATTTAGTGATTCGCCATAAAACTAACGCGAATCAAATTTAAAAGCCTGGCGAGATTGTTAGATTTTCAAAAAACATTTGCACAGGTTTTATGTTTTCATAAAACTTGTAAAGGGATATAGTATAGGGATAAAAAGAGGGCATTTTATTTAAAAAAAAAACTTTGTATATTAATTTAAGTAAAATATATATATATATATATGAAATATATCGATTATTTAATCATTTGAATATAATATGAAATCACATTTGGTATATTAAATAAGTTAAATCAATATTTTTCGGCTTAAAAATCTCTAAAGCTTTCTAAACTCACTTATAAAGGTGTCTAAAAGTATGCAACGAAAAAACAGCTTTGACTTTGGGAATGAATCCGTAAGTATTTGGAATGTAAAATATATTGTTGCATACTTTTAGGCAGCTCGTTATATGCCAACTTTAAAGATTTTAAAAATTTCTATCAGATATTATTTTTAAAACCACAAAAATTTCAAAATTTATTTCTGGTAGTTGACATAACGATTTTTCTGAGTGCCCAAGTAAGCACAGCTTCTTTGGATCTGAGGAGGCAATAAACCCAACTTAAGGCCAAGATCAATCGCGGCGGCTTGAGCCAGTTAATGGCACATGAAACTGAACAACAGAGGCACTCTGCGAATAGCCGGCTAACAAAAGGAGCCGTGCCAAGAAGGATATATTCGTCCTGTGTTCCCAGCGCCAAGTGAGCGTAATTAATGCGCTCAAATTTATCAGGCTGCATTAGGGCAATGAATGAAACCTGTAACTCATTTTGTCACCGAAAGTAAACAACATAGTACAATGCGATGTAAACTGTTGCTAAGCCATCGCGTGTGTGCATATGTCTAAAAAAGTTTTTCCCTTACTTTCCCCGTGACCCACATGACATGACAGTTCGCGATGACGCAAATCTTAAAGCCGAAAGGCCTACGAAAAGAAGGAAAACCGAACAGTAGTAAGATGTTGTCGGCAGATAGTCCCCACTGGATTAATGCTGCCATAATTCCACGGGGCGGCCTAAGGCCACAGGCTACGGCGCAGAGCCTCTTGTGGAGTGGAGTTCATTTAATATATCCGATAAAAGTATTTGCAATAAATCCTGTAAAAGCTAATGATTAATTGCTCTGTAGCTTTTAACGTCAACGCGAAATACTGGAGGCACGGATTGTGTGTCAGGCGGCAACAAGAACAACAAAGGCAGCAAAGCCAAAGTGGCAGCGACATTGGCCAACGTGGCGTATGAGTAATTCGACTTTGACGCCGCAGCGCCGCGCGTGGTTTTGCCTACAGCCACACACACACACACAGTCTCACCCTCCCAGGATATACACACACACACACACATGGATACAAAGGGACATTTGTCTCCGCTCTCTTAGTGTATGTTTCATGTTTTGCGTTATTGTCGCTTCAAGTAAAAACACAAAAATATTTATTTCAAATGAGTCCTGTGCACAACTGGGGACTGCGGAAACTGGTAAACAGAATGATTTTTCTGCCCAACCCCCAGCGGCCACGCCCCCGAAACGCCCCCGGGAGATACCCTGTAAATGGGTTGAAAGTATGATACATCCCAATCTATTGATAAGCTATTTCTTTAATATATTTCACAGACTTTCTAGCGATTTTATGATAATATGAACTTGCGCATTCTAAGGAACTAAAATAGTGCTTATCTAAGCTTAATTGTGAAAAATACTTAAAAGGTGTCTAAAAGTATGCACTAAAAATTTGTCCTTTAACTTAAAAAAATGTTGCATACTTTTAGACACTATTTTGATATCATTTTGAATTTTCTCTCTAAGTTAAATTTATTTAACTTATAATTTATACCCTTGGTTATTGTGACTTTTTCCAGACCTTCTAATTTTGGGTACCTCATATTCGTAGCTCCCGTTTCTACCATATCGCCTTGTTTTTTTTGGGAAAATTCTTTTTTGTTTTTGGTGGGTGGCGAAAGTAACTTTCAGGGGGTTGCTTGGGCTGCTTCTGCCACTCGCTTGGCGCCTTTCCTGTGGCAGGGGACCGGGTGAAAGACAGCATTTGCCATAAATTGTGAAAGTGTCAACGAAAGGCAAAAATACACACACACACACAGATGCCGAGGCACACGCACGCACGCACTGAGGGAAAAAAACAAATGCTAACGACATACAAACAAACAAATCTATACTCATTTCGGCTACTGTACTGCGGTGTGGGGAAGCAACACGCACGCATATTTATTTTGAACACATCTTTTTTTGGCCAGCTACAAATGCGTTATATAAATACGCCTCTACAGATACACAGATACAAATATACATATATATATATAGACGGTGGTGTATGGGTCCATAGATTGCCTTTTACATACTCACGCATATTGTTCTAATCAGTGGCGATGTCCTGGCCTCCTTGGAATGTCAATTTTTTGTTGCCTAATTTATTTGGCCAGCCCAAACCCAAGTCGAAGCCAAAACCGAAACCGAAAGCAATTCAAACCACCCTCGGAAAAGGGGGAGTTACTACTTTTGACACCCCCCACACACACAGAATCGCTTCGGCTGATTATTGTCATGGTCGAAATTCTCGGGATCGGCATAGATTTTTCTCCCCCAAAAGAAGAAAGTGGGGGGAGAACTTTGCATAAGCTCCTGCCGCTGACATCTTATGGAAGATGGATAGTTCTGTGGCGTGGTCAGGTACAATCGATAGCCGGCATATTTATGGTGGCCACGTGACCTTTCGCTGACCGCTGGCTATTCGAATATTTTCTCTCAAGGAAAAGAGTTTCCTTTCCTTGCGCTTCGCTTAAGTCTGACAGATTTAAATCCTTCGAAGGCAGCCCAAAATAATTAATCTCCTTAATTGAATACATGCGATTATGAATCAGCAAGGAGGACAAGCACTTACCACAATTACTGCATTAATTTCCGCCACTTGTCGAGTTGCCCCAAGGCTTTTGGGCTTGGGTTTTCTTCTCGCTTTCCTTTTGCCACAGACCTTTTTCGGGGGTTGTATACCATGGACCATGGTGTATGTGTATATACATCATAATCATAAGGAGCTCCAGAGCATCTGGCCGGGGGCGTTGGTCCAGTGTTCCACTAAATTGGACACATCTGCACAGTTTTTCCCCCCCAAAGGAAAATCCATCTCCCCCCTCCTTTTTTGGCAGCGTGTCAATCTTGCGAGTCAAATGGCGGCACGCAATGCAAAGTTTTTCCAGCCCACAGAGAGAGCTGCTCCAAATCCCCGCACGTTTCCGCATTTCCACATTTCTACAATTCTACAATTCCACATTTCCCATTTCCATATCGCCGGGAGTCTGAGTCTGGCGCATTTGCATTTGCCTCCGTACACAATTTGTATGCTTAAGTAAGCCGACTGCGTGCATGTTTCTAATGGGCGGCACAAAAGGTTAGGTTACCTGATGCTGAACACGGAAAAAACACGCTGGAAAAGCGGCTTTTCCGCCCGCTTTTCCCCCTTTTCCCCTAACCCTCCCCCTCGCTTTCCCTGCAGCAACTGAAAACTCATTTCGCCTCGGGCGTGACTTTTATAGCACTTTGTTTCCGAGTAGCTACAGCTATACTAAAAACCAGAATCCAAACCTGTACCAAAAAACATTTTAAAAAGTAAAAAATACCTTCGATATCCAAAGGTTTGAATACCCTTGATTTTCCATTGTTGTTGTGACAGCAACAATTTTGGGAAGTCCTTAGCAAATAATAATAGTTTTTATTTCTTTAAAGAAAACTAGTTTAAACCTTTTTTCATTAGATACCCTCAGTTTTTATTTAAAATTTTATTATGAGGTGATAGAAACTAATATTCAAAAAAGATATGGGGGTGCATATTAAACCTATAAGTCTTAAAAAACGTTTTCCTAACTATACTCTCCCCGTTTTTAATGACTTTACATCTAAAGATACTGTTAACAAACTCTTAATGATAAAATCAAGACATCTTCCAATTACAAAAGTTATCGCTTCATCTTAGTAAATATGTAAATGACTTCCTTGCTTAAACGTATTTATCAAGATTTAATTACGATAAAGTTTATTGACTAAGTAAATTAGAGTAAAAGTTTTAGTCAATAGGAAGTTTCTATTAGGAGCTCCCTGACAACTTTTTGTTTCAATGTCGTTTTGAGGATGCTCTGTACTTGAACATCCAAAAAACAAAGAGTATGTGAAATATGAAGGACACATGATAAAACCGGACCTCGAAGCATACGAAAAAGTTTTCAATGAAATCGACTGGCTAAAAAAATGCGTAGACCTTTAAAATGACGAACTCGAGCAATTAACCTTTGTCAGGGTATACAAATGCGAAAAATGGATTTTTGCGAGAGCCACAAAACGCATTCGAAACTTTTGCCTTGGCAACTTCAAAATGCCAAATGCGAAACACATTTTGGGTTCAAGTTGCTGCTGATGGTGATTGTTGCCGCTTTCACTGCTGCTGATGTTGTTTTTGAACTTATCAACACGCCGATCACTTGCGACAGTTTCCGTTTTGCCTCAGATACAAGTACCCATACATATACATGTACCCACCCATTGGGAAAGGACCAGGAGCAGGACCTAATTGCCCCGCACCCAGTTACAGTTACAGTTTCAGTTCCATTCCCACAACCAACGAACCATCGAACCCTCAACCCAAAACCCAAACCCAAAACCCCGCTCAAGGTGAGCAATGTAAAAACTTCCTGTGCACTCATTTAGTCCTGCTGAGCTGTTGTCCTTTATGTAAGCGGCGGCAGCAGCAACATCAGCAGCAGCAGCCACTGCGACAACAGCAACAGCAGCAGCAACACCGGAGCAACACGCCCCTTTCACCCGAACAATACACAAAAATGAAACGAAAAGGAGAAAAAAAAACGGATATAGAAATTCAATACTTTGATTCGTGCCACAAGCAAAACGAAGGAAGTGCAACCATACAAGGTAACCAAATAGCAGGACAACACGTACTACAAGCACTTGTTGGGAGGTTCAATGTACACTGGGAAAATCAGTAATAATGAGATGCACTTTGGGATTTATAAGTAAAAAACTACTATCAATCAATGGTAGATTCCACTTAGGCTTACCTTTCATTACTGGTAGTATTTATATTTATAACAGCTCTGAAAATATATTTTTATTCAGTTATTAAACGCTCTAGTGATAACTTTATATTAAAGCCTTCCTTAGGTTTTTATAATAATAAAATAAATATTTATATTTATAATAACTCTGAGAGAAACCACACTAACAATAACACTAAATGTAATTAACGGGAAATATTAAACCCTCTTATAATAACTATACTAACTTTAATCTTCCTTTATAGCTAAAAGATATAAGGGTAAAAAAGATACAGTAGAGTAAATTAAGATTACTTATATAGGATTGCACAATATATAAAGAATAGGCTAATATCAATCGATGAAATATAAGGAAAGCATATCATATTTACTGTCCCTTTTCGTACTTTTTTAGCGACCTACGAAACCAGTTATTTCTAAATGCAGCTGTATGTTCTACATGAAATATTATTATTTAACCCATAAACTTGTCCCTTTTTTTAGTTTTTCCCCGTGCAGGATATAGGGCGGTGCGAGGGGTGCTCTCTGGGCAACAAGATTTCCCAACTGCACTGGCAATGGCAACTTTTTTGGGCAACATTGCTGCATTATACTTAGTGGTTTCCACTTGATTGATGCCATCTGTTAGGAACCCAAACCCACCCAAAAGTGGCGGGAAAGTTCACCTCCCAACTAACGATCGACAGCAATACGAGTGTAATTGCCGAGCAAGTTACGTAGGAGTACTGTTTTCTACTAATAACAACATCACGCAATGCTCGCCGCGTGGGAAAGTAGTACCGACTTACGGTTGGCTAATTACCGACATATAGATATCCTGCGAGTGTAACTATTAGCAGTCGGCAGGCACAGGCATCCGGTTTTTCAAAAAGGGGGTGTAGGAAAAGCGGGGGAAAGGACTCTGGGAAAAGCTCTCCTCTTCTTTCCACTCACATGTCTGCCAATTATAAGCAACTAAACCGCAGATAAGAGCGGATGCTGAGGCTGCTACCGAGACCGTATATCCCTGGCCCGCAACCAGACTAACCCCAACACATCCCCAGCTCACCAGCTAACCATCTCACCAGATCCCGAACCGAGAATCCAGAACCCATCCTCCCAGGGATGTGCTGTCAAAGCGACGTGACTAAGTGGTGAAAAATGATTTCGTGGCTACGTGTGACTCTCTCACAGGGAATGAGCGGGCGTTAAGCGTTCACGGCTTCCTCCTGGAGAAGTAGAGGTCCTGGAGATATCCTGGGAGGACTGGAGGAGCCGGGGGAACTGGGGAACCCGAGTAGCAGCCACAGCCATCGAGAGGGTCACTTGACGAGATACCTCCAGGGGGGTGAAATAATGCTGGGAAGTGGGTTGGGGTTTGGGTTTGGGATTGAGGTGGGCCGTGTTTTTTTTTGGAATGGGAACTGCGAACTGGGAACTGAATGCATGTGCTGGAAGTGTTGTGCAATCGTCAAAGGATCAACATATTCGCTCGGTCGGTTCGTGAGGGAAATTTATCAAGACTTCACGGGGAACTTCCTACTCAGAGGGGTTGGGGGTAGAAAAAGGGGACCTAAAGGAATAGATGAAGCCCTGAGCCAGCGATGAAGACTTCTGAGAAAAGAAAACCCTATTCGTCTTGGGCAGAACACTACTTCAGCGAAGAAAGAAAACCCCGTGAGACAATGGGAAACCTTCGTATACAAATACCCTATAAATTTGAGCCGCATCATTTTACAATTTCTTTCTTATAGAATTTATTAAAGTACGAAAATGACCCTTGAGCAAGGAAGAATAGTTTGAGGGTTATAAGGGTTTTCTATGATAATAAGTGGAACTTAAATAAAAACTGAAAGTAAAGTTAAAAAAAAAACCTTAAGTAATATTTTGTGTTAAATTACAAATGATTTCTATCTAGTTCCTATATTATCATGAGATAGCCAGAATATAAAAGAAATTCAATAAATCAATTTCTTCATACTCTTAAATACCATTTTGTATACCACATAGTTTAATGTATTTAAAAATATCTGAAGTAGAAACCACAGAGACGTTCGGTTTGATCTGCATGTTGTATTATTCATCGTTATTCCAACACTTGGGTTCCATCGTGCACCTTTCAGTGGCAGCATTTGCCATTCCTCGCCTTTTATCCAAGGCGGAAAGATTCCTTAGCGTATCTGTCGCCAATTCAAGGAGAGCTTCCTTTATCCTGGCCGGGAAAACACCGCTGTCCTCCGCCCTCCTGTTGCGTGTCACGCTGTCGTCGCTGGCATCTCTCCACCGCCCCCAAGGACCAATGCTCGCATCCTTTGGCACCTCCATCTGCATCAGCATCTCCATTGCCATCGCCATCGCCGGCATCCCTGCTCCTTCCTGGCAGTCTGGGCGTCGTTGTCTTGCTGCCAAGTAGCACTCAAAGTGAGTTTGCGACGCATTGCCGCATTGTCGCTACTTCATCAGCAGCTACAGCTACAGTCGGAGCTAAAGCGAAAGCCAAAGCAGAAGCTGGAGCTATATGGCAAAGGCATCAAGTGCAAGTATCCATGTCCTGGCTGCACTTGTGCAGCATCTTCTTCGTCATCGCCACCTCCTTTCAGACCCCTGCCGCCTTGCAATCCACTCCTGCGACACAGAATGTTGCCAGTTGGCAACTGAGCGTCCGCCGGAAATGAATACGTGTTGAATATTTGTCGAGTTGAAGCACAAGGACATGGAGGATAACATAAAGGATGGGGCTGTCGTATCGCCCACTCTACCACCCCCTAAGCATCTACATGGCAAACAAGCATCCTAGCACACAAACAGCCAGGGTCAAAATTATGACTTTATTTGGTATAAGGAATAGAATATTTTTAAAGTTTGTTGGTCATATTTAAGAGATCATATAATAATAAGATAATATAATATAATGTATATATATATATAATATAATTTTTAATGGGAACAAGGAACCTTGAGATGATAGATCAGATATAAACAAAATGTTAATAACAGGATAGTATAATATAAGTTTTCACATAATAGCATTCATTTAATAGCAACGTGGACATAAAGATGATAGATCAGATAAGTACAAAATATTTTTATAATACATATGATATAGCTTGCTAGGAAACTGTGTTCCTTAAAATTGAATCAAATCCTTATAAAAAAAAGAATTACCAATGATTGGCTTTGTATACCTAAGATATATGATTTACATATTTTTAAGGAGTTAGGAACTCTGATCTTAGTCATAATGGGGGAAATGTAAGAAATTCGTTTGGTAAAAAGGAAGATAATCACGAACGACACATACCCATAACCCTGTTAGTCATAGAAAAAACCTCTTTACCTATTCATTTGACCCCAACTGTGTCTGTTTGGCACGGAGTGTATCCATCTACGTGGATGAGCTCCATGTGTCGCTTAGCCTTGCTGGCCGGGCTAATGCGCAAACCAAATATGATATACTATACGGGAATGTATATGCTGCGGATATATGTGCGGCGCAGCATCTGCCACAGATTTGCAAGCGTTTCACAAATAGCAACAACAGCAGCAACAGCAGTGGCAACAACATCGACATCCCATCAGCAACAAGCTGCAAGGACCAAAACGCCAGCTGCTGCAAATGGCACGCATGAAAATGAAAGGCCCATCGAATGGGCGCGTTCATTGAGAATTTATTTCAATAAGAGAAATGAGGAAAAAGGAGAAAAAAAAAACCAAAATAGGAGGGGAAGTACGTAGAGGCGGGGGTCTATACCGCTTATAGGGTATAAGGTACGTATCTTGAAAGGCAGCACTAAAGGCCATCGGAAACTATAATCACGTATGTGCATATGTCTCGGGCAACACGAGTCTGCCAGGATATCAGCGCTAAGTGCTCTTGTTGCATGCTGCACAAGTAATTAAGATTAGTGACTCAATATGCACACAAAACACACACACAGACATTAATATACGTATTCGTCTGAAGACAGGATTCCTCAGACAAACAACTTAACTTGTTCTATGCCATCCTGCTTGTTTTAGTCTGTTTTAGCTGCACTCTGCAAAAATTTAACAGGATATTCCTGATGTCCTTGCTGGCTTAAAGCACCTTAAAGAGGGAAATGGAAACTCAACTGAATCTTAATGCAATTTAAATGCTTTATATATTGTCATCATAAAAGTACAGAAATTCCAATTGAACATAATATAAACGAGTCTTAAAAGGCGTATCTTAAAATATATAATTATTGAACATTATATTTAAGGTATTAGAATCATTATTCTGAAGTTAGCAAAATATTTTATTTGTCTTTATAAGACTGTTAAGTGTTAAGTAAAAAACTGTATAAACCCTAAACAGTTTCATTGGAATACCATGTAAATTACCCTAAATACATCAGCTTCCTTAATTAAGTTCAGTGTAGAGAATTCTAAGCTTTAATTTCTATCTCCTCCAAGTAATGTGTATCTTCGCATGGCTTCTCTTACACTTGGAATTACCAATTTACACAGCACAGATTTGCCGAAAGCATCTTCCTTTGTGCGAATGAGTGTTGGCTCCGTAATTCCCACAAATTGAAGAATCAACTCGGTTCCTTGATTGATGCCTAACCCTCTGCAGTTTTGACTTCTCCGGGGGTTCTAATTGAATCAACTGCTGCAAAGGGAGAATGAGGC